CCAGGCGTGCTAGAAGGCCAAGTGCAGGGACCGAGCAGACCAGGCCTGCGGGAGCTGGGGCTGGAGGCAGGGGATGAGCGGACACGCAAACGTGTCCCGTCTCCATCGCGGGGCTCACACCGTGGCGCGGGTGTGTCAACCCCTCGGCTGGACGCTTGAAACGCCAGGTGGACTTCGAGATGCTTGCACGACGACATGTGGGCAGAGCCGGCCCGGGTGTGGCCACTCAAGGGCATGTTAAGGGCAAGTCTCAAGGCTCAGTCACCAGGAGACGGTGGGGAAGCGAGATTTCAGTTTCATTTTGCCAGAGGATTCCTCAAAGTTTAAGTAGTGAAACCAAAACATGGTGCAGAATTTTCAAAGTTTTCCCGATGCCTCCCCCCCACTCCCAGGCCCCTAGCCCGACCGTGGAGGCTCCCCCAGCCAGGACTCTCTATCTTTCTACGGATTGCAGGGCGCGTGGCCACAGGCTCCAAGGGGTTTCGGCTCTCAGCTGCCCTTTCCAAGCCGACCCCGCAGTGCACACCGCGACCCGCGGCCCTGGCCCCCCGCGTGTGCCCACACGGTCCCCCTCCCCCTCTCCCCCGCGACACCTAGTGAACACTTACATCGGAGCCGTCTCGGAGACAGGACTCTCGTGGGCCCATCGCGGGTGACACACGTGGAGGGGACGCCAGCGCCAGGTGCGCAGCTGGAGCGCGGCTTCCGGAGTCCCCCCCCCCACGGAAACGGCTTGGCACTGACGGCGGGGCGCCTTCCCCCGTGGGCTGGGCGGTCCCCAGCGTGAGCCAGCCCCCAGGACCCCGCTGCGCGGCTGCAGCCTCAGTGAGGGCTGTCGGGGCGTCTTCGCTGTTCCCCGGGAACGCCCGCAAGCCGACGAGTCCTGACCCTGTGCCCCCTCGATGCCCAGCCCACACTCCCCCTTCGGCTCCCACACCGACTTCTTTTCCTTAGCCCCGCAGCGCAGGGCCCCAGCCTCCTCCTGGAAGGGTCGTGCCAGCCCCCCGCCCCCGCACTGCGCCCCCACCAGCCCCCCGCCCCCGCACTGCACCCCCACCAGACCCCCCATCCCCACACTGCGCCCCCACCAGCCCCCCGCCCCC